ATGTGTGTAGTCTCCCCCAACCTTTATAGCAAGTGAATTGTAAAAATAAAAACAAACAGGAAAGTGGTTGCTTGATCCAAAGCCAAAAATGACCCAGTCTGTAAAAATAGAAACTTGATACAGCGCAAAGGAACTATCTCGTGGGTATGTCTGCATTACATCTACGAACAGATATGTGAACAGAGACAGAAAAAATATTTGGTGATAGTATTTTTTTAAAATCCCATCTTCCTTTATTCCTCATTGCTTGTAGCATATAATTGTAAACATCTTTTGGGAGGGTTGTGGGGAGGGTGGGGAACTGCCCTCAAAGCCCTCTTGAAAAGTCCTTAACAACACTGTTACATGGAAAATTAAAAAGATTAGGAATCTCTCCAAAGGAGATTTTAAACATGTTTGCCCAGCATTCCCTTTCTGTACGAAAGAACCATCCTTCCCTTAACAGAAGAGCATAGTTTAATCTCAGAAGTCTTGCCTGGAGTGAAGGTGGCTGTGTATACACATATATACACACACACATAGCAACCACACATTTTGTCTGTTTTACGTGTGTGTGTGTGTGTGTCTCTTTTAAAATGCTAAAAATGCAAATCCTGGGCATTCTGTTAACCAAATAAGAAAGAAAAACGAACACCAGGATATAATAAACCAGACTGTTTAATATAAACAAGCCTGTGGTTAAAAAGAGTCACTAAGCTTTCATCAGGCCAAACTACCGACGTCATCAGAGTTGGAGTAAAAGGAGATCAGGAAGGCAGCTCATATAACCTCCTGCCTCTGCGCCCGGCTCCTTGAGCGCGTCATTGGCCCGTTGATTGTATTAATCCGTACCGCACAGAGTTGTTCCGCATCAGGCAAACTGTCCTTGGCTCCGCTAGTTGTTTTACGATCAAGTGCTCTTTTAGAGCGTGTGCAAGCACTTGGAGGGCGGCTGTCAACCGGTCCCTGCGCCCAGTCTCCCTCCCTCCCAGGGCCATTATCCTCCCCCACCCCCAAGGCCGTTGTCTCCCCCGTAATTCCTCTGCCCCAGTCTTGCAAAAAGCAGCTGTTCTGGCATTCCTGCTCTGCGTCTTCCCCCTCCTTCCAGATCGCCTCTTCCCCTCCGTCCCCAGCTTAGGGCCGTTTGGTCCATCATCTCCGCCCATGGGAGTCGTGGTCGCCTCACCTGTAGAGCCATCGTCCCAATTATGCAAGATGCTGTCCCATTGTTTCGGTCTCTGGTTTTTCCCTTTAACCAGGTCATCGTCCTCCTTAGGGATCGTGCCCATCTCATCCATCATTCTACTGCCCCAATCTTGCGAAGGAAGAGTTGAGTGTCTTCTCAGCAGACCGTGGCGCTGTCTTTCCCATCCCCTAAGAGTCTGATAAGCCGGCAAAAGATCTATATGCCGGTTGATGGAATTTTCATCAGAGAGCCAGGCTTCCTTGAGTAGGCGGCCACCCTTGGTAGTCTCACGAGCTATAACACGGGTCGGCAACCCGCGGCTCCGGAGCCGCATGCGGCTCTTTCAGCCGTCTCCTGCGGCTCCCTGTCCTCAGCCACCATGTGCAGTCCGGAAAAAAAAAAGTAGGACTAAAAAAATTCAACCAATCAATTCAAACTTCGTGAGAAGTTTGAATTGATTGGTTGAACTTCTTTGGTTTGTGGGACTGCCCACAAACCTCTTTCCTTCTTTGGACTGCACGTGGTGGCAGCAGAGGAAGAGCCAGAAGGATTGTTGGAAAGGCGGCAGAATCTGGGTAAGGAGCCAGTCTCGGGATGCCTCTTCCCTGCCCGGTGGGTCTTCCCTCGCCCTGCTGTGCTGCCGCCTCTGCCTGTTAGTTGGAGGGGGGTCGCCTTGGGTCTCGGTAGCTTCCCCACTCCGCCCGTGCCTTTCGGCCGTCTCGTGAGTTGAGAGATTCCCCCGCGGCCCTTTGCCGCGGCCCTTTGCCGCCCGGCCCCACCTCGGCCCGGGCAGCCGCGGCCCTTTGCCGTCCTCCCCTTGCCGCCGCTGCCGCGGGGCTCTCCACCGCCCAGCCCCATCAGTGGCACCTTCCTCGGCCTGGGCAGCCACGCCCGTTCGCCCCCCGGTCCCACCTCGTCGGGGTGCGGAACTGGGCTGCGGATGCCTGCCCAACCGGGTGGAGAGCCTGCGCCTCCCCTTCTCCTGCAGCCGGGGAAAGAGGGCCGGCACCGAGCCTGTCGTGGAGGACTTTTTAGGCCCCGGATACCCCCCTCCCCCCAGGGCCAGGCACTGCAGCTCCGCAGCAGGAGGGAACCCTCCGGACCTTCGGTTTTCCCGGCTTGCCAACGAGACTTGCAAACTCAGCTCCTGCCAGGGAAGCAGCACCTTTTGGGACGGGCTCTGAGCAGTTGCATGCTTCGGGGAAGGAGCTTCCTTGGCAGGAGCCGAGTTTGCAAGCCTCGTTGGCAAGCCGGGAAAACCGAAGGTCCGGAGGGTTCCCTCCTGCTTTCGGGGTTTTGCTCGCCTGCCCACCCGGGTGGAGAGCCTGCACCTCCCCTTCTCCTACGGCCGGGGAAAGAGGGCTGGCCCCGTGCCTGTCCTGGAGGACTTTTTAGGCCCCGGATACCCCCCCACCCCTTCCCCTGTCAGCCCAGGGCCAGGCACTGCAGCTCCGCATCAGGAGGGAACCCTCCGGACCTTCGGTTTTCCCGGCTTGCCAACGAGGCTTGCAAACTCGGCTCCTGCCAGGGAAGCTCCTTCCCCGAAGCATGCAATTGCTCAGAGCCCGTCCCAAAAGGTGCTGCTTCCCTGGCAGGAGCCGGGTTTGCAAGCCTCATTGGCAAGCCGAGAAAACCGAAGGTCCGGAGGGTTCCTGGGCTGACGGGGGAGGGGGAGGGGGTATCCGGGGCCTAAAAAGTCCTCCAGGACAGGCTCTGTTGAAGCAGAATTCAAATCACAGGCATTGAGGAGTTTTAAATATTCAAACCAAGAAATCAGACTCCGTGAAATCAGCGAGACTTCCCCCGCGTCGTATGCATAACGTTGCCCCTCAACCCTCACTGAAGCCACTGAGCAAATGAGGGAGTCCGTCGTTGGCAACATTACAAGCCGATGCTGAGGCTTCAAGTCAGTTGCGCCCATTTAACCCACACATAACTGCCGCCCAGGATCAGCTCCTTAAGCTGAGAATTGCCCTAAAAGTCGGTTAAATTTAAAACATTTAAAACTGTTAACGAAGCCCCCTAAGCATTCTACGGGTGGGAGGATCCCTCGCGCTCGGCTGTTAACCGGCTCTTTTGTGGGAGGGGTCGCGCAGGGACCGTTGATTGGGTGAAGCGAGCGGGGGCGATTCCATGGGAGAGAAGAGGCAGGGCATTATCTCCACGGTTACGGGGGAACACAAATCACAGCGGAGCTTTCATCTCGTGCTGTTGCCAAAGTGAAGCGGCGAAACCCCGCTTGGCCTCATCCTGCAGTAAAGTCTTCCCTGGGCGGCCCTTCACTGGCAATACCCGTGAAAATGATTTCATCGAACTCATTTGTGCCGCCCCTCGCGTCTTAGTCAAGATTGTCAAGAGGGGATGAAGTACTACTCTGTGATTGTTGGGGAGGGAAGTGTCATTCATTTACCATATTTTTACTTCGCTTTTTGGTCAGTGCACTCAATTCAGAATCAAGCCCCGTTATGTGTGTGTGCATGCGCGCGCGCATGCGCACATTTTGTGGCTCCCAGGTTTTTTTTGTGTGAGGGAAACGGGTCCAAGTGGCTCTTTCACCGTTTTAGGTTGCCGACCCGAGCTGTAACCTCTGCGTTAGCTAGATCAAACATGTGGCCAAAGCCCATATGTCCAGCTTTGGCGGTAGAATGATGGATGAGATGGGCACGATCCCTAAGGAGGACGATGGCTGGGCAGATTTTGCATGGTATTTCATAGACTCCTTGGTTTTCTAGCTGGATCCTGTCTTTGGGGTTTCTTAAGATGTTGACTATTTTTTGGTCGGTGCCAAAGGCTGTCTTGATATTGTGTTTGTGGAGAATTTTGATGATTTTATCTGTGGTGCCTTTGATGTAGGGGAGGAGGGCGATGTCGTACTGTTCTATGTCTTGGCTCTTGGGGACTTCGTCGAAACGTCGCCAAGACACTTCCAATTTTACGCGGGAGAGAACCCGAATGACCAAAGACCTACATACAAACACCCGTGAAAACCTCAGAAAACATATATATATATATATATATATGTGTGTGTGTGTGTGTTTTATCATTGACACAAATGAGGTCTCTTGTTTTATCATTTCTGTACACGACACTACACTGGGCAGTGCTAGGAGGAAACAGATGCAGTCACTTGCCTTTTTTAACTAAAAACAGAGAATAATATAATTGTAACAATTAAACTAAACCCCTAGCTTTGCCATCAGATGTAAAGTCCCTTTCGGCCAAGTGTGGAAATAAAATGAGTGAGCAACCCGTTTGATTTAATTTGGCATTCTATAGACAGAAGAGTCCTGATGTTTACTGATCTCAAAAGAAAGGATTTTTCCATTCAGGGTGTCCAAGACTTTGAGGCTTCCTCGAGAGGGGCATGTAAAGTCATAGTGGTTTATTGGGGTAGGGATGAGCCCAGAAAACCTGGATATCACATCCACTTTTGTAGCTGGTTTGCCTGTCCCAACTCCAGAGTCAGTGGATGAAATGAGAAAGGGTTAAACTGTGTGCAATCATCTGCTGAAAAATCTATTTGTGTGTGACTGAGCTTAGGCACTGAGATTTGCCTAAAGAGCTCCTCGGTCATCCATATCCAAGTCCCGTCCAAATGCCACACAGACAGTGGTTTGCAGACGCGATGGTCTCTGACTGAATTGCCCTTTGGATCGAGAGTTCATCCACAAGCCAAACCCTAAGATACAGGTGTAGAGAGAACATGTGTGCACATGTTAAGTGTTTGTGTGTGCAATACATCTTCCAACGTGCTACAGAGCCCTTGTGTCTTCCAGGTATCTACGATGCCCAGTTCAACATCTTGGCTGCTGTCCTGTTCTGGGTGAGGGGCAGGCCATGCCCACCCAGGAACTCTCCTTTGCGCACCCAGAACCATGGTTAGTCCCTGCAGGTGGAAAGTGCTCAATGCAGACCTTTCCCTCATTCCAAACATCTGTTGTTGGATTATTTGTTTGCCCGGTTCGGGAAGACAGGGGGTCTGCGTTGAAAAACCAGGGTGGCCCTACCACCTCGGTGGTGGGATCTTGAAGAAGAGCACAGTGTCCTGCTGTGGATTTTACAAGGTGCCGTGCTGAGATTCATATTTAGAGAGGATGCTGCGGTAGCGGGTTAGTTCCTGGCGGATATTGGCCACTTCTTGGCGAAGGACTGCATTCTCCTTCTCCAAGAAAGCCGCCCGAACTGTGATTTGATTCTCTTTCAGGCGGCGTGCATCTCTTGAGCGTTTTGCTGCCTCATTGTTCTTGTACCGCCTGTTCCAATATTTTTCATCCTGGTGCAACATGTAAAAAAAGGGGGTGTCGGGGAGGGAAAGAAGAAAAAAGTGGCATGTCAAAGGAAGTGTCACATAAGCATTGCACACTAGATAATTCTAACCATTTTCCACAAAGCTCTGCACAACTTAAATGTTCATATGCAGTTCCTACATGGACTTGACAACAGTTGACTGTCCAATTCAGGGTGATATTTGTGCTCTTAAGAAGCAATACACTGTACATGAATACCAATGGCCATATCCCTGGATGGTTTCATCTTCCAGGCTGAGGAAACTCATGGTCAAGTCCCCATTCAACCACAAAACGTCACCATGAACGAGTGATTTGAAATCTAAGGAAGGTTTGGCTTGCCCAGATAGGAGACAGTTCTTACTTGACTTTGGATGATCCAGGAAAGAGCAAATTGTGCCAAGTGGGATTTGAATCTGGCAAGTGAAGGCTGTAAATGCCGAAGAATTGAGGCCTTTGAACTATGGTACTCGAGAAGAGTCCTGCGAGTCCCCTGGACTGCAAGGTGATCAATCCGGTCAGTCCTAGAGGACATCAACCCTGACTGCTCTTTAGAAGGCCAGATACTTTGGCCACCTAATGAGAAGGTCTCTCTCTCTCTCTCTCTCCCTCTCCCCCTCCCACCCCCTCTCTCTCTCATACAGCCATCGTATTAAACCATCATGTGGTTTTAGTTCTTTGGACATAACATTTCACATGAACATAGGTTACTTGCTCTCACTGTGGGCAGCTCCTTGATTCTTTTACCTGAACTGCTTGTCACTATCTTCCTAACTCAAACACATCTCACAGCCCAGGAAAAGTTCTGAATACACCTGTATTGGACCCAATAGCACTTTTTCCACTCTGTAACCAAATATTACACATGTTTAGACAAGAATGCTTCTTTACTTCGAACGGGTTTCAATCTCTAGAGCTGGATGAATAGCATTCTAGAGCAGAGGTACCTTTTGGGCACCAGGGACCGGTTCCGTGGAGAGAAGTTTTTCCGCAGCCCGGAGGGTGCGTGGTTTTGTGTGCTGCCTGCATCTCGCAGATGGGGCTTTGCTTGTTTGTGCAGACCGGTTGCTGGCATGCCGTGGCCCGGTACCAGTCAAGAGACCAGGGGTTGGGAACCCCTGTTCTAGAGTACTAAGAAGTCACAAACCTGTCAGTCTAGCACTGATACCTAGGAAGATCCTAGGGATCATAAAGCAATCAATCTATAAGCACCCTGAAAACAATGCAATAATTACCCAAAAGTCAAGATGGCGACTTCAGGATCAAGCTTTTCTAAATTTATTTTACTTATTTGATTGTAACTTCCTGGAAGATGATGGGGATGCCAAGGAGGATTATTTTCAGATTACACAACTAATAGTTTCACTACATCCTACACAGGTCAGATTCCCCAATCAAATTTGCAGCCAGTTCTTCAAGGGCATTGCACTTGAAGAAAACAGTGAAACCAAACCAACTGGTTTGGAAAAGATCAATGAACATGATCCTGGGACAAGAAACAAAGTTCTATAAAGACAGAATGGAAGAACAGGGCACAGTGGGGCTAGGACAGCCCTATAGAAATACTTTCAAGGATGTCATGCATGACCAGAATGGCAGAACATGGAAAAATGGGTTTACATTACAAGAAGGCTTTGTAGATTAGAAACAAACATTTAAGAAGAGTAGAACTACTTTGGCAATAGAACATGATGCCTGGAGATGGCGTGTTCTCCTTCACAGATGCATTCAAGCAGAAGCTGAAAACCCCTCCACTGTAGAAGCCTTAATCTGGTTTCCTGCACTGAGCAGGGAATTGGACTCGATAGCACTAAATATCCAATGCATCTTTCTTCAACATCCCCTCCCTGCAGATATGCGAGATTCAACTCAGAATTCTTAGCAAGGGACATGAAACTGCCCCGGGGTCTTTTGAACAAGGGTGGGATATAAATCAATAAAGAAACGAATGCTAACGAAGGCATTCCGAGAGTCAAAGGATATGCATCATAGGTAGGGAAAAGCAACCAAATGAATAACAAGTGAAATCCTTCAGGGCAGTGGTCCCCAACCTTTCTGGCACCAGGGACTGGTTTTGTGGAAGACAATTTTTCCATGGACTGGGGGAGGGTAGGGAGGGTGATGGTTTCACATGCAACCTAGATCCTGTGCATGCACAGATGAAGCTTTGCTCGTTTGCCTACCGTTTCCGCGGCCCGGTTCCTAACAGGCCAGGCACCGGTACCAGTCCGTGGCCTGGGGGTTGGGGACCCCTGCTTCAAAGTGTTTGACCACTTGTAAATATTCTCCTTCTTTTGATATCATTTCTCCCCCCCCCCCCCATTATAAAGCCATTACAATGGAGGGATAGGACTAGGAAGATGGGAGTTAAAATCCTTACTCTACCATAAAGCTTCCCTGAGATTCATTCCTATTTTTAGCCTCATTGTTGTGAAGAGAAAAAACTGAGGGGGAAGGCCCAGGTATCCCATTTTCATCTCCCTGTGCTTAGGGCCATGGACATTTTCAAAATACTCAGACCTAACCTGAGCAGAGCACCTCTCTGCTGTTCATTGAACCATGCATTTTCCTTTTAGCCTGAAATAGGTCATACAGGTAATCTTTGACTTAACGTTCACAACTGGAACCAAAATTTTGGTCACTCAGTGATCCAGTTATTAAATGAGTCATTAAGTGACTAGATTCGTTTTTAAGTGAATCACATGTCACTGAATGAATCCCATGGTTGTTAAGCAAATCCAGCTTCCCCAACTAGCTGTGCTTGTCAGAAGCTCACTGGGAAGGTTGCAAATCAAGATCACGTGACTGCAAGATGCTGCTGCAACAGTCATAAATGCAAGCTGGTTGCCAAGCCCCAAATTGTGATCATATAACCACAAGAGTGATATGATGGTCAAAACTTCAAAGACCACTTTAAGTCATTTTTTCCCAAGGCCATCATAACTTCAAACTGTTGTTAAATAAACTGCCATAAGAGGGGGACTACATATAAGTAGTTTAAAGAATAGCAGAGAAAGGCTGGGCTTGCGCTAGATTTAAAACCCTCCTCCTAAATCATTTTCAATCAACGCACAGCCCAAGTATTCATTATACGTGCAATTAATACATAAAACAGTTTATGATCTTGCTTTTATTGCTTGGTTTGTGAGTAACTTTGTTCTCTCTTGATCTGAATACTATACTCCCTTCCTTAAAGAAACATCCAAGCTATTTCAACCAGGTTAAGGAGGATGGGAAAACGAAAGCAAGAGGTCTCTGAACCCCAAGCAGTGGCCTATCCTTGTTCCCAGCTCACCTTCTGTTCATCAGGAACCTGTATTTTCCGGGCCTTTTTCATGATGGGCTGGGGCTTAAGCTCCTCTTCTGAGAACCGATGCTTGCGAGGGTCAAAGGTCTTGTGGCCTGGAATGCTGGACAGTGCCAAATCAGCAGGGTCAGGGTCAAAGTTCATGAGGACCTCCACAGCCTCAGGGTCTACCGGGCTGGGTGTGCTTCGGGACACTGGCGTGATAGGACCTGAGGCAGGTTAAGGAGGAAGGTAGGTGAATTTTGCACAAAGACAGAAAAGCACCAACAAAAGTATCTGCTCGTAACCTACTCCTTCCTGATGATCATATATCCAACCACCCCTTTTGCTTCCCGGTGCACCTCAACTCTTCACGAAAGGGATTAACTGATATGGTGGAGAGCAACAGGGACACAGGGTTATGTCTCTTGATAACCCAGTACATTTACAGTCAGGTTCAGAAATACTGGGACATCGACACAACTCGAACACCCCCGGCTCCACACACCACCACAATGGAGCTGGAACGAAACAAACACAATGCGCTGCAACTGCAGACCGTCAGCTCCAACCTGAGGGCATGCACATCCAACCCAGGCGAACGGTGCAGGACCCACAGCAGCCTGCATATGTGCCTCCCACCCGTCAAGGGACCAAAGGTAATGGGACAGAATAATAATCATAAATCAAACTTTCCCTTCTTAATACTTGGTTGCAAATCCTTTGCAGTCAATCACAGCCTGAAGTCTGGAACGCATAGACATCACCAGACGCTGGGTTTCATCCCTGGTGATGCTCTGCCAGGCCTCTACTGCAACTGTCTTCAGTTCCTGCTTGTTCTTGGGGCATTTTCCCTTCAGTTTTGTCTTCAGCAAGTGAAATGCATGCTCAATGGGATTCAGGTCAGGTGATTGACTTAGCCATTGCATAACATTCCACTTCTGTCCCTTCAAAAACTCTTTGGTTGCTTTTGCAGTATGCTTTGGGTCATTGTCCATCTGCACTGTGAAGCGCCGTCCAATGAGTTCTGCAGCATTTGGCTGAATGTGAGCAGATAATATTGCCCAAAACACTTCAGAATTCATCCTGCTGCTTTTGTCAGCAGTCACATCATCAATAAATACAAGAGAACCAGTTCCATTGGCAGCCATACATGCCCACGCCATGACACTACCACCACGCTTCACTGATGAGGTGGTATGCTTAGGATCATGAGCAGTTCCTTTCCTTCTCCATACTCTTCTCTTCCCATCACTCTGGTACAAGTTGATCTTGGTCTCATCTGTCCATAGGATCTTGTTCCAGAACTGTGAAGGCTTTGTTAGATGTTGTTTGGCAAAGTCTAATCTGGCCTTTCTGTTTTTGAGGCTCACCAATGGTTTACATCTTGTGGTGAACCCTCTGTATTCACTCTGGTGAAGTCTTCTCTTGATTGTTGACTTTGACACACATACACCTACCTCCTGGAGAGTGTTCTTGATCTGGCCAACTGTTGTGAAGGGTGTTTTCTTCACCAAGGAAAGAATTCTTCGGTCATCCACCACAGTTGTTTTCCGTGGTCTCCCGGGTATTTTGGTGTTGCTGAGCTCACCGGTGCGTTCCTTCTTTTTGAGAATGTTCCAAACAGTTGTTTTGGCCACGCCTAATGTTCTTGCTATCTCTCTGATGGGTTTGTTTTGTTTCTTCAGCCTAATGATGGCTTGCTTCACTGATAGTGACAGCTCTTTGGATCTCATCTTGAGAGTTGACAGCAACAGATTCCAAATGCAAATAGCACACTTGAAATGAACTCTGGGCCTTTTATCTGCACATTGTAATTGGGGTAATGAGGGAATATCACACACCTGGCCATGGAACAGCTGAGAAGCCAATTGTCCCATTACCTTTGGTCCCCCAACAAGTGGGAGGCACACATGCAAACCGCTACAAGTCCCACACCGTCCACCCGAGCCGGATGCACACACCCCCAAATCAAAGCTGACAGTCTGCAGCCAAACCACACTGCGCCCGCCCCATTCCAACTCCACGGCGGTGGTGCACAGAGCCAAAGATGCTCGAACCGTGTCGATGTCCCAATACCTCTGGACCTGACTGTAAGTCTTCCTGAGGATTAAAGGCATGCAGAGGGGCTGGGAAATTTATACAGGTTAAGCAGCACCCCAACCCCATTTAAGTGAAGGTGGATTTTCTGGAGCACTCCATGTCTGACGGGCTTAAGAAACAGCCAGAGAAGGGGCATAGGGGCAAACTTGTTCTGGCAACTGCAAATCGAGGGATGGTTGAATTAAAAGAGTATGACTCAAATCTCAGCAACTTTAAAAAAGGTGGACTCCAACTCCCAGAATTCCCCAGCCAACTGGCTGGGGAATTCTGGGAGTTGGAGTCCACACTTCTTAAAGTTGTTGAGGAGGAAAAACGCTGCTTTAAAAGTTTATTAAGTTACCCTGCCTGGGAAAATGTGGCAGGGAAGGAGAAAGGCATTTTGCGGCTGGCAGAACCAGAGAGGGCTTGGAGTTGGGCAATGTTGAAACACGCCTGTGCAATGGAGGATGAGAGCAGCTGCCAGAAAACAGGGACTCAATATATCTGACAGTCCTCCTAACCTTTAACTCTCCCCTAACCTGGAACAGCCCCCCCCCCCGCGCTTCTAACTCCAAATTTCCTGGTCCCTCCTCCCTCTTCCTCAAGATTTAGGACTTAGAGACTGAGCTTAAAACGCAGGTCACAAAGCAATATAATCTGCATACATTGTAATATGCACTTTTAAATGCTCACCACCAACAACCTGCAACTAAATCAGCTGTTAAGAGTCATCCTGGATCCAAAAGTTGCTTTTTCACTTAACCTCCATTTCCTGTTCTAGCCAACATTTTCACTGCCAGCATTAAAGCTTTTTCTTGCTAGCAAACAAGAGCATTGCTGTCCTTTTGCCTTCTACTGTAATGGAGCCGTTTTCTATGGAGGAACCCAGGTGCTCGTGCCTGTTGGAGAACCCAGGTACCCCTGTTTCCCACATCCCTGTTCCCCCTCCCCCTCCCCCACAGACATCTGCCAGTCATCCCTTCTAATCTCCTCCCCCTTGGAGACCCCAAATGACCGCCCTTGCTCCACCCACCTCCCTTTGTCGGAGAGCCCCACGGCTAATCTGCCTGGTTTTGCAACCCCCTGCTGCTGGCCCCTCGTGGAAACCTGCCTGCTGGGAGAGCCACACAGGCACCCCTGCTCACCCCGCCCTGTGCCGAGGAAGGGGCAGGCTGCCAGCTGGCAGGAGCGATGAGCGCAGAGCCCAGCCGAGCGACATGTGTTTGCAGAGGCAGGGTGAGAAACGTGAGCGAAAGCAGGAGGCTCCATGCACAGACACGAGACTGGGCCTTTCCAAGCAGGCGTGGTTGACACAGGGCTCTGGCACAGCAGTAACACGGGATTCCCCGCAGCCTCCTGGCATGCTAGGGCTGAGTCTCTACTCCAGGACACGTGCACACGCATTCAAACATGCACAGGGAGGGAGGGAGGGGGGGCTTCAGGCCTCCTCCTTAAGGTGGGGAGGGGGAGACCCACACCTGATGTTCAGGAAAGGGGGAAGCTTCATCCCCAGGAGTTCTCCCTCTTATAGGTGGAGGGGAGGAAAGGCTAGGATCCGCAGGTTGTGGGGCAGTGTTTGGGCAAAGAGGAGGCTTTCCTGTTTTTAAATGGAGGCTGTTGGTATCCAGAAATGCTGACAGAGCTGATGAAGCAATGAGAAGGGTGGGGTAGTACAGGGCAAATATGAAGAGAATATTTGTAGTTCAGGATTGAATTGTGGGGGTCTTTGATGCTCTCTGAGCTTGGTGATTTTCTTGCAGACGTTTCATTGCCAAACTAGGTAACTTCATCAGTGTGCTAATGATGTTATCTAGTTTGGTAATGAAAGATCTGCAAAAAACCCCAACAAGCTCAGAGAGCACAAAGGACCCTACAGCGTTTTTAGAGGAAGGGGTGACTTAAATGTAAGAACATCTAGAGAGGGAGGAGGCAATTTATATTTAATGTTTTGGATTATATACCCCACCCCACCCCCAGATATAAGAGCTCCAGTTATTTTCTTTAGATTTAAGTAAAAGAGAAAAGTGTTGGCAGTGGTCTTAGATTCACTGATTAATAGATCTGGATTAATAAAACAATTCCTGTGTTCATTTCGCACAGTGTGCTCAATTAAAATGTTATGGAATAATGTGATGGCCTGGTGCATACCACAGACTAAGATGGTGGCTGGATTGCCTTTCCATGCTGGGCCACCTAACTCCATGGAGCTTTAGTGTGTTGTGGGAATCCAGCTTATGTCTTAAAAGGAAGAGATGGAGCATTCAGGAATGCTGAATGTTCCAATTAATAGTGAGCTAACCAAGTTAGAGAAAGTGAAGGATCATAATTGGGGATAAACTTTATAGGATGTAGGGGGATGGAGGGAGGGCTGATGTACCATCAAGTCTTAAAGTTTGAGAGACCATATACATTTATCAAATATAGGAATTATATATATAAACTATTCAAACAGGCTGGATTTGTAAAATGTGCTAATCCTTCCGCCAAAGCCATAAACAAGGCTAAAACTAACTAAACATAGCATGTTGTGCAAATCCAGACAAAGAAATGGAAGTTTAGAAGTAATTGTCTTCAACATGGGGGTTGAATACAATACTTAACTTCTCAGAAGTCCCCGGAGCCTATGAGACTGTTAATAATAAAGCTGAGTATATGCATTCATTTGCAATGTTTTTACTGTTGTAAATTGTTTTAAATCTCCATCCATTCTATGTATTCTTTAATACATCAATTCTATTATAACATAGAATTTTCATCCATTGGATCAATTCTCAACAGGTGTACCTCTAGCTGTATGGACTACATCTCCCAGAATCCCTTGTAATATCTATAATTAAAATTCTCTGACTGGTAATTCTGGAAGCTAAAGTCCACACATTGATGAAGATTGCAGTGAACTTTTGATCAAGTCAGGATATGCTTATTTTCAGAACACCGCATCTTCAGTTGCCTCTAGATTAGTCCATAAAATCTCTTTTCTGGTCCTCTCCACAATAAAAAATAGCTTAAAACTTCACTGAAATTCTAAAACTTCCAACAGGTAGAGAAAAGAATTCCTATACAAATCAGGATAGGATTAAAAATAATGTTCCTTCCAAGGTGCATGGTGTGTGTGCTGGCAGTACACAATTCTTTGTGTATCAGTCTGTATGTGGCAAGTGAAAATCAGGGTAGGAATCAGAGGTTGGACTTTTCAGCAGCCAGGAGAAGGCTGTCACTGCCACCACAACCAAAAGGTGGGACTGAAAACTATTTGCAATTAGGAGGAGATGAAACTGACAGTCCTTGCCACAATTAGGCAGGTACTTGAAACTGCCTTCCTTCCCCGGTCTAACCCAGTGAGGGTGCTAAAATAACTTTTTTATCACCTCCACACCAAATACACCATGTTTCAAAGAATAGTCTTTTTGCAGATATCTATGGAGATTCTCAGTCATCCAGGTCATACTTGTCTCAAAGGTGCTTTTTTTCCTTCAAAAGGCAACTGAATTGTTTTTTTCCTTGAGGAAGATGAAGGAGGAGGAGAAGAAAGAAAGAAAGAAAGAAAGAAAGGAAGGAAGGAAGGAAGAAAGAAAGAAAGAAAGAAAGAAAGAAAGAAAGAAAGAAAGAAAGAAAGAAAGAAAGAAAGAAAGAAAGAAAGAAAGAAAGAAAGAGTTTCACTTCTCATCCAAGAAGCTTCATCAGTTCTGATGAATCTATCCTTCCATTCCCCCCCCATCCTATCAGAACCTTTCCTTCCATCTTCTCCCCACCATCCATTCTCAACTGTCAGTACCTATCCATCTCCCTGCCATCAGAACTGATAAAGCTTCTTGGATGAGAAGCAAAACTTTTTTCTTCTTCTTCTTCTTCTTCCTCAAGGAAAAAACAGTCCAATTGCCTTTTGAAGAAAAAAGCACCTTTGAGTCTTTTTGCAGATGTTAATCCAAGAATAAATACGATTTGTAATAATTTTAGAGTTCTTTTTAAAGTAAGGATTGGTCAAACAGGACATAAAAGAGTACACTTAGCACAAGGGTCAAAATAAGGCGTTAAAATTGAGATCTGGAGCAGAGGGAAGAAAAATTGCACCATTCTCTGCTCAGAGCACTAAGTCCTTTTCTCTTCATACAGATTTAGCCATAGGAAGAAAAGTAGTTGGGAAGGAATGATTCAGAACAAAAAAAATGTCTAACTGGGGGAAAACTCTTCTCTTTTGCTGCTCTTTCATTGCAAATCACAGTTTCCACAACCTATTTTTGTATGAAAAATATTTTGTTATATGCATCCATGCATAACCTGTGGCACATCCCCAAGATTTTGTGCCTTTAAACAAAAAATAAATTACAATATGACTTTGCCCCCTACAAGTTCAAAGAGCAAGTTTAAATTATGCTTTCTTCTTATCCCAAAGAGCAGGGGTGGGGAACTATGGCCCTTTTATGACTTGTGGACTTCAACTTCCAGAATTCCTGAGCCAACCATGCTGGCTCAGGAATTCTGGGAGTTGAAGTCTACAAGTCATAAAGAGGCCATAGTTCCCATTTCTGTCATAGAGGCACTGCAGAAGGAAAACAAAACAAAGCATATAGCAATGCAACTTGGAATTTGCACCCTAGCTTTATAAGGGTGTTTTCATAATACTATCAACAAATATTTGTGTGAGCATCTGTGGTTTTAGGCCTATAATTAGTGTGTGCTGGATGTGACATCTAAAATGTGTGGAAGCTGAGGGAAAAAAACCAGACTGTGCGGTCCTTGGTGGTTTCTTGCAGACGTTTCATTACCCAACTAGATAACACCATCAGTACAAATGTTACCTAGTTGGGTAATGAAACGTCTGAAAGAACCCACCAAGCTCAGGGAGCAACAAGGACCCCATAGTTCAACCCTGAATTACAAATATTCTCTTCTATAGCAAAAACAGACTTTGGGAAACAGTTAAAAGGAGATTCTTACAGTTCTCTTACAAATCTCATCCCAAAAGCAGGAGAACCAGAGGGGCCAATCACTTTGTTTTCATCTTTTTTCCCCACACCATCCTCTTGCCCAAAGTACAGCCAAATTTACCTGTTTTGCTGCAGTTTTGGTCATAATCACTGCCGACTAGACCGTCACCAGATGAAGAACAGATTGAAGACGATGACGTGCAAGAAGCCGGCCGACTAAGATCCACCACTACCCCGCTGGAAGGCGAGGCGGTGGGCTGGCTGCCTGGGGAATACGACTGATGGGCTGGACTTGGGGGCAAACCATTTTCCAGCAAAAATTCATCCAAGTCGACGTATTCAATCTCATTGCAGGGCAAGGTGCGTTCCCACAGGAGGGACCCCAGATATGCACAGTGCCCAGGTCTTGAGACGCTCAGATCGTCCTCCATCTTATGCTCCTTGTCTTTGATCACACCTGCAATGGAACAAAAGCAGCAGGGGAGAGCAAAAGGGAGAAACGCAGGTTAAAGAACAAGATTAGTGGAATGTGTATGATCTAAGAATAGGAATCTACTGAAATGCAATAAAAAATAAGACAGGTAATTAACTGGAAAGTCAGAATCTGGAAAATTAGACCAGAATTTGCTCATGCTGTGAGGAGAAGGCTGAAGGTGATAAATCTGCAGTGGATGCTTAAGGAAACTGCAAAGCTTGTACCAAAGTCATAGCAACAAAGTCTTGGATAAGAAGAGTTGTTAATAAATGAAAAATTGTTTCCCCAATATGCCACACATTACAGCTTAAATGTCTATTTTCTACTGTAAAGGGACAAGGGCCGTATCTGGCCAAAGCAGCTTATAATTAAAAAAAAACACGACATAATGTGAAGAGGAAAGGGGAAAATAATGAATGAATATAAATTACAGCTACATATATGTTTGCATGGCTGGCTCAGGAACTCTGGGAGTTGAAGTCTACAAGCCATAAAATGGCCATTGTTCCCCATCCCTGATTTAAAGGAAAGTACAATTCAAAGGGAATAAAAATGCCTTTAGCAATGATAAGGGCTTTTCCCAAACCAAAAGTTAATCCTTCTTCAAAAGCAGACAACATTAAACTTCATTATCTTCCAACTCCAGAATGTTAAAAATGTTTAGCTCCAATTCTATTTATAGTTCTCTAACCTGAATTTCTGAAAATGGCAATACAGGTAGTCCTTGACTTACAACAGTAAGGACTGTTCAAACATATAAGAACGCTGAAAAAGGTGACTTACAACTGGTCTTCACACTTACGACAGTCGCAGTGGTTACATGATCAAAATTCAGGCACTTGGCAACTGGCATGCATTTACAATAGTTGCAGCATTCTGGGGTCATGTGATCACCATTTGCAACCTTCCCAAGGGACTTTTGACAAGCAAAGTCAATGGGGGAAACTGGATTCGCTTAACAACAGCAGAAAAAAGGTCATTAAATCAGGCATGATTCACTTAATAACTGCCCACTTAGCAATGGAAGTTCCAGTCCCAATTATGGTCATAAAGTGAGGACTACTTGCATACAACTGGAGGCTTCAGAGTGCCAAATTTTCCTTATCGTGCCTAGCCTACTTAGAGCAACATTATTCAATAAACAAAGTCAAGATGAACTTGTTGTCTGGAAGGGATACAAAATGCAATATAAAAAATGAAAACTAATTAGCAGTAAGTCATTATAATTTGCACGTTAAGTGAATTACACTTAGCACAGCTCTGTTTGAATCAAAGGGATGGCTGCACCATCAAGTTACTTACAGGGATTAAAGTGTGTTGTGGAGAGACCTATAAAGTCATTCCAACCTGATAATCACCATAACTGTACAGCAAAAGTTTTACAGGTGCCTCAGTGACTCTGTTATTTCAGAGGAAGAAAAAGTTGGCTTGGTGTTAGAATATAAGACGTGGAAATATTAATTTAGGCCATCCATCTGCCTGTTCAGTGCAGAGACCAGATTTAAAGGTTCCTGAACAGATGGCCTTCCAGCTTCTTCTTGAGTGTCCACAAAGAGAAACCCACCACCTCTCAGCTATTGGCTTTCTTATCCTTTCATTGTTTTGAAGTTTCTCCTGATATTCACCTGCATGCAGGCAGGTAGTTTGTGGATAGATAGTCAAGAATGTTTCTAGATCAACAATTCTGGCAAGTTTTAATCAAAGTATTCACCATGTACCATTTATGCTACCTAGATTGAAACCACCTACCCACTGCATTCTATAATTAAGGCTTTGTTGGAAACTATTTTAATTGTACAGTAGTGCTTCTCAACTTTAAGAGGCATACTGGCTGACAAATTCTGGGAGTTGAAGTCCACATATCCTAAAAGTTGTTGATGTTGATGCTTTTCAGGGACTGATCAAATCAGAGGCACACTATATAACCCCAGATAGTCCCAATCCCAAGCTTTTTAAAGTTTTAAAGTGGTTATGCAAAATAATAATCTCATATGTATGAGTGTCTGCAGGAGGAGGAAACAGACAAATGAGAAAAAAAAATAAGCAGAGGAAGTCACCACACAAACACCATAACTTACACCCTTACATCAGATGTCAGGATGCAAACACATAAAGGGTGGCAGCTGTGTGATGGTGTCACCAGGCACAATGTTGATATTCTGCCATCACTGCTGTTTGCTGTAGATAAGGCTGCCCCACGTTCTACCTCTGATCTCCTTGGTGGCTTGATGCAAACTCAAAACGAAGTTTCCACTGGGTTCATCAGCAGCTGGTATCTTAAATATTTGACCTGTTTTTGAACGTGGAATGTGAAAATCTGTTTCGGGTTCAAAACTGCCTGCTTCTCTCATGTTGTTTCAATCAGTTCTGTTCTGAATTTGGAATGATCCCAAATGATCAGAACAGCCTGCTTCACCCTTGAAGCAACTGCTTCAAACTAAAAATGGAAAATGGTTTCAGATCAGAAAGATTCTGCACTCCTCTAGTAACAAATTAAGGATACTAAATCTTCCCTCTATCTTTCTGCAATTGTGCCAATCTTCCTCAGGATTTGCATGATTGCTCTGAGATTCTTTTTTATTTTATTTTTTTACACTGCAGACTTGAACACGTATCTGATTGTGCTGGATCACAATAATGTCTTTGTTTAGCTTTTTAAATACTGTATCTGGCAGCAAGGAAGCTCCAGTCTGGGAACGTTTCATTAAAATGGTTCTGATCTATGGTCGTGGTTAATTCAAGGGCTAAGAAGCAAGGACAAGCTAGATCACTGAGGCTGTAAAATGCAATCACTGATATCTGTAGTGTAAAACTGCTGAAATTTGCCTAGGACCTATCCTTCACTTTCTCCACACCGGAGGCCTGCCTGTTGTTCACCAGCAAAAGACAAGCGCAGCTTTACCCCAGCTGACCCCTGCTGTGTTCAGCCATATCTGATCGGCTTCATCAGTGCTCCTGTTCCTTTGCTGCCCCCTTGCCAGCCTGAAGCCCAGACAAGGCAGCCTGGAAGGTGGCTCTTTTCAGAGAAACAGCTGGCTGGCCTTTCAAGGGAACTAATTTCTCAGGGACTCTAATACAGACACACACTCCAGACCATTAATCTGGGGAGAGCGTATGGCAAAAGCAGAATTTTCTGCCTGGGATAGCAGTCTAGCCCCTGAATCCACCGGCTTAGGTTCAGATATGATTGAATCTACTCCTGCCTAGTGCCTAAATCTGGGGCAAAAGGAATCCATTTCCCTACCACCACATACACACTGCCCTTTGGTTGCCCCAGTTTGTTTACAGCAGACTGCAGAGATTATTATTCATGAGTGGGCTAAAATAGAAGAAAGTGCCAGGAGGTGAGTGGGAGAGGATATAAGCATTTCTTCAAACCTCCTTGACATAACTCCTACTACCTACCTACAAACACACACATACACACCCCTGCACCCTCTCTCCACTGCACCTGGGCTGTCTGCGCTCCCTCCCCAAATCACCAGGTCTCTGGAAGCTTAGGTGGTTGTCTGCTTTACAGGTGTTCAACCCACACCATGAGGTTCAGACAGGCCTGGGAGTGGTGCTCCATACCTGAACTCTTACGCTGCCTGTACATGTGGAAGAGAAGTCCAGGCCCAGCTGATGGGGCTGTGGCGACACCAACCTGGCGCCCCGAAACTGGGCGAGTCACTCCCAACGCCCCATGACTAGATTAAACCCACAATACAATTCCCAATTGTGAAGAGATGCCCCATACAGATTGATCCCGGAATATTTTCGCTCCTCCCTCCCTCTTTCTCCTGCTCCTCCTCTCTTCTTCCAGTGCCTGGATCCACCCAGGCAACTACCTGAAACTGGCAATTATGAACTGCTGGATGAAATCTTGACCCAGTCACGGGACTCATCAGAACAGTCCATGGCCATTTTTTTAAAGCCTTAGTTTTCGCTATCTGTAAAATGGGAATAATGAACTACCTCAACAAGGGCTATGGAGGATAAATAATGGCAAAGAACAGGATATAGAAACAATACTGCTGATATTATTTAAAATATGGGGAATGATACAGTGGAAAAATAAAAATGATAAATATTTTGTCTCCATTCCTCATTTGCCTTTAGTCCTGGCTCTTAAGCGCAAAGATTTTTCCTGTGTGACACCAAAATTACCTTCTAAACTGCTCCCTCAATCCCCCAAAATTTCCCATAACCCCCCCCATGGCCAATTTAATGTAATACCTAAAGCTGGACCTCAGCATGTGAGCCTTGTTTTCTAATTCTGCCCCACTAGCTATTGCAGGCATGAAAACTGTTTCAGAATACAAAGTACTTCAAGGCTGAATTCACACAATATATTTAACCTGCATTATTCCTAGGCATATATTACATATGTGCAGTAGTCAACAGAACCATCAGGTAATCCTAGCTTGGGGTCCACGTAATACCATACTCTCACCCACAAACCACATAAGATACTACTTTGTAACTAATGTGACTCAGGATATTTGGCGATCAGATGCTAAAAGGAATATAATGAAACAGAGCTGGGAAATAGTTAATGCTCAATATTCAGGCTGTGGCACCAAGCAGAGTGAACACCACAAAATTTTTATTTTTATTATTGTTATTTTGAACCCAGGCTCAGCCAGCTCACTGCAGTCATAACCTAAACCAAATGAAAACAATCAAACCTCCAAACACAACCAGCCTCCCCAGTGGTTGGAGTCAGCAGCAGCAAACCGAGCCCCCAGCAAGCAAGCAAGCGAACGTACACTACACAGAGAAAACAGGAGCAGAATGCTCTCCAAAGCAACATGCACATGGCAGAACGAAAAAACAACAACAACCCTTGAACGTTGATATGGTCAAGGTTAGCATCAGCTCCCGAAATCCAGGGGGAGGGGAGTGAGGAGGTGCACGTGAAGGAATATGTCTCCCAATGCAGGCACTGGACTTGGGGGAAGGGGGGCTTAAAACACACAACTGTCTCCCCTCTGTACTCAAGGATCTTGTCTTAATGAGGGTCACACAGCAAGGAGGAAAATAAATATTAAATAAGGACTAAGGGGGGGGGAGCCCATAGAAGATTCTGCCCAGGTAGGCTAAGGGATCCAACTGGCACCCTGGAGCCCCTCTTCAAACCTTGATCTGGCTTACCAGCTGCCCATCCCCACATCATGGTCACTATGCAGAGATACCCACCGTCTGTATCCATCTGTCCACTTCTCATCCTGACTGCTAACTAGAATATAAATGCCAGCTTGTGGAGAGCAGGCGCTCCCCCCCCCACTTCTCCCCCCCTTCTTTCTCCTTCCCAGGGAGGGGTTTGCTGACCCTGGAAGTGCCCTGATGTCCCCACAATATCCCGGCTGCTGACACCCCACCACCCCTTGCCCGCCCGGTGTCTGTTGGCTCGTGTGAAAAGTCTTAAAGATTGTTTCCTGGGGCAAAGCTCCATGCCAGCACGTTTCATTCCCTCCTGCTGTGTCCCGTGGCTGAGCTGTGTGCAGCTTTAAGGGATTTACTGCTGCCAACCAGCAGATGTGTGTGTATGCACGCGCATGTACAGAAACACCCCTTGATGGATCACCCTGGAAAACCCTGACGAGTTGGCATCTCTCCAGCAGCAAAACCCCAGGAGTCCTGGCTCCCCAAACCTTCTCTCCGGGAAGGTCTTAAAGAGGATCCCCTCCCCTCTCTTCCCCTCCCAGCTCAGAAATCCAGAATCTCACTGCTCACCTTCTCCTGGTCCCCTCCTGCAAGGAGACTATGACAGCCATTTCCCCACCTGAAAACCTGATACCCCTCCCCAGCCTTCCATAATAATTAAAAAAAACCCTCTACGATAGTGCTGCATTGTGAGGCATTGAGGCGGACACATTTAGAGGAACTGAATTACAAAACACTAGAATTCCAAAAATCCATTTAAAAAGGAAGGAACCGCAACGGCAGACATGGCAAGTGCTTCTTAAAAGATGTCATTACAGGGAACAGAGAGAAGGATAAGTTTTACCCTTGGAAATTCCTCTCTCTCCCCCCCTGCCCCCCCCCATCCTGATCTTTAAAAATCCTGGTTCCCACCTAGGTCTGGGTCAAAGTCTTCCAGAAGCAAGCATCTTACATATGGGTCGGACTACAACTCCCACCCTCCCCTTCCAACCACTGCTGCAGTCTACTCCAGTAGAAGGGAGCCAGCTTTGAGGAGGACAACTCAGAAGTGCTCTGGGTCTAACTCCACCTACTATATTGTATTCTATTTACAGGGCTTTGCTCTCCTGTGGAATTCTCAGATCTAAGCCCCTCCCAGCCAAAACCTATGAGAGAACACTCCCCCACCCCCGCTTCCAGCACTTCATTAAAATGATGATCCCATGAAAATTAAAAGAAGGGCCGCATCTTCCATGCACGTGGAAGGCACAGGAGCTCTTATAAGCAATTTCTTGAAAAAGGATCTTCCTTGAACACAAACCTCTTCTTGCAATTCACAGTACAGGAAACAGAACAAAAAGGGGAAGTAACAGTGGCAGGTTGAAATGAGGACACTGCATTAATGCCAACACTCCCTCTGCTCCTTTCCCCCCCTCCTCTTCCCAAATCCAGATGGCAGAAAAGGTAGAAGTGAAAGCAAGCAGAAAGCTACAGCTAGGAGGCCTTTCAGCACTGGTCTGTTCCTGTTACTTTAAAAGAGACTGGCCAGGTTGGGATGGAAAAGACAATCCAATGTTGCAAAGAATCCCAAATGAGCAGGCAGATTGGAAAACAACTGTAGTTCGGAGGAAAAATGAACAAGACGGAGTGATAACTGGAAGGATATTTATTATAGGGTGTGTGTGTGTGGAACATACACACAGAGCCCACAAAAACCTTTAATACAGCACAAGACACCTAATTATTTTAAACTGCATCCATGTTATGACATTGGCATGTCTCCTGCAAGCTAGGCAGAAAACACTTGGCGTATTAAAATGAAATACCTGCGAAAGGTTTTGCAAGGTTCAAGTGATGGGTGAAAAATGATACTGGCCCAGAGGAGGCCTTCACTTTAATTCTGCACATTGACTCACAAACCAGCCAAACATAATATATCTAATGGGTGGTGCAAACTGGCCAGCCATGTCAAGTTCATGGCTCAGTTAAGTGGAACAAGCCCATAAAAATGGGTTGAATAAACCATGATTTGGTTCATAACCGGAAAGTATGCTTTACAAATATGGCTAATCTCTTTCTCTCTCTAGGGTGGCTCATCTCCTCTTGGTTCCCAAACTGTAAAATGGAACTAGCAGCAATACTATATATAGTTGATGGATGATGTGGCATCAAAGTTGTTTTTGATTCCTAGCAACTACATGATTGATAGATAGGTAGATGAGATATGGATAGATGACAGATAGATAGCACAGAGTAGATATAGATAATGATAGATGGATAGATGGATTAGATACCATAGAGTAGCTAGCTAGCTAGAATGCTGATTGAGTAGATAGATGACTGATAGATGATAATCCACACACACAAAAAATTGCTTTAGCAATTTCTAAACAAACAAATCAAATCCAATCCCTCCACTGTGAACTGGTGAAGCAGTTGGAAAGCAGCAAATGTTTTGCGTGGCTGCGAGCACAAATGTTGGTTAGACCTGGCATGTTGCAGGGGGTGGGTGGGGGGAAATCACTCACATGAGCCCAGTTCCTTGGCCCCCCGGCGTTCAGGACTCTTGACCGGTCCTTGCAGGAGGCTCTTGAGACTGACCATAGTGGAACTGGGGCCGCCGACCGCCAGAGGAGGAGGCGACATGAGACTGGGTGCCGGACTGCCCTGGGCCATGATGAAGGTTGCTGCGGCGGGGGCAGCAGCTAACTCCAGGAGATGCCCACCGACGGCGGTGGGTTTTTCCTTTCCCTTCGACGATCTCCAGCAAACTGTCCCGACTTTAGAAATAAAGATACAAACAAAAAGGAGCAAAAGCATCAATCTTCGATCCAGAACCCGACGAAAATCCACCGACGATGCTCAGGAGGGGAAGGAAATTTCAGGACCTCGATGATTCTCCCCCCTAAAAGATTTCTTCCCCGCCTGCCCCTCCACCCTTCTCTCGTTCTCCTTCCACCACCAGCCTCGAAACAAGCCTCCAGGGCGCAGGCGACGGCCCCCGCTTTGCCCCGCTCCAAATTTAGCAACCAGTCTGCACCAAGAAGGATCTTCACAGAAGATCTGTTAGAAATATTCCTTTGCGGGAGATGAGGGGGCTGGTTTGGGGGGGGATTTAATTTTTTTAAAAAAACAAAAAAACAGGAAACAATAATGAAGGATGATCAGGAAACGGGGAAATCGATTCTCTAACTTAGAATTTTTTAAAAATGGATTTTTTTTGCGGAAAATTAATGACCCTTGGGAGGTTGTTCTCCGAAGCTTTTTAGCCTTTCCTCTCTCTCTCTCTCAAAAAAAGAAAAGACTCGGCGGTGTGATCCCTTCACTAATAGATCCTGCTCCCTCTAAACGGCGGCGGTGGATCAACTCGCCTTTTCCTCCTCCAGCTAAATCCTAGAAGCACTGTAAAAAGCAATGCTAGATCTCCAAGGAGGGGTCTTCTCGGGCGGTCACTGAGGGAATCCGAGATTTTCGCACCTGCTTCTCTATAATGAGGAGAAACCGAAAGCGGATCCCGATCTGTTCCAGAGTCCTATGCAGGCTTCCCCCAGAAGGGAACCAATGCATTTGAGCTAGACGCGTGCAATAGACAGATAAATGCAGATATAAAATTGCAAAAATCGCTCGTTACTTTCCTCAACAAGCACTTCGCAACTATTTCCGAATTCGCCCCTCCTTTTCCCACAAAGTAGGAGGGACCAGGCAGCGAAAGTGGGCGGGGCTTCGCAAGCCCTTCTCCACCAACCAGCCGCCCGAGAGCGTGAGATTTGCAGTGCTCCCCCCGCAGCTTCTTCTGTCATGTGCGTCTGCCATGGGGCAGGTGGGGCTGTGACCTAGATTTGACCAATAAGAGGAGAGACGATGGGAGGAGCCTGACCCAGTTTTGACCAATAGGAAGGCGGCAGGGGGGGAAAGGCGACAGTTCAGCGTTGGAAGCACGCGGGGAGGCACGTGTCGCTGGTGTTGTGATGGGGAGCAGAAAGGGAAACCTGGGTCTTAAAGGGACAGCGACTAGTCACTGGAAAGTAATGGGAGGGGGGTGTTTACTCTAAACGAGGATGGAGAGGGTCGATAGAACAAATCTGGAGTCCTACCTGGATATGACTTTTTAAAAAAATACCCTTGGGGTTGGATTATCCTTCAAATTCTACCCAACTGCCTGAAGGGTAGTACGCTCCATATCCACAAAACTAACTTTCCTGCATCCTCTAGATATATACAGAGTTTTGCTATGAAGCTATGGGAACTCAGCACCCCCAGAGAAGGAAATATTAAAAGGGCAGAATATTATATTTCCTCAAAGGATCTTAAAGAGGCAGAAAAGCATGCCCAATTTTTCTTAATAGCCCCAAGTCTCCCTCCCCCAAGCAGAAACCAGCTCTGTAGAAATGCAGATGTAATAATCCATTCAGGAAGATTGGAGCCCTCCAGCTAGAAGCTTAGGAAGACAAAGACACCTAAAATATACATACCCCACCCAAACTCTAAGACAGGACATAATAGGATTAACCCACAGATGCCAAAGGGACACAGGTCAAAATACATGACACAGGAAATACAACGCCTCAAACAGGAACAGGAAACAACCTCAAGAGCCCCAGAGGGTATAAAAACCCACTTCCTACATGTGCTCTCTCTCTTTTCTTCCAGAGCCATCTTTCTGTCTGGCTCTCCTCTTCAATAAACTGCAACCTTCTTTCTAAAGCAGTCGCCATGTTGTTTATTCCCGGCTTGGACTGAACCATGATGAAGACTTTTCCTTCAACAAAGCTGTAAGTTAAAGCAGTCTCAACATCAGAAGCAAACCTCTTTTCTTTCCGGCTCACCATGGAATGATGGACAGATTTCTTGGAAACCTTTCCTGTCAAAATAATGTATTTTCCCATGGTGATGCTTGGCTTGGACAGATTCTATGTAAAGCAAATCTGACTTCAGAGCAGGGTTTCTCAACCTTAGCAACTTTAAGATAAGTGGATTTCAATACCCAGCCTGCTGGCTTCTGAGAGTTGGAGTCCACACATCTTAAAAGTTGCTAAGGTTGAGAAATTTTGTTTTAGAGCAGGGGTGTCAAACTTGCCACATGATGTGACATGTCGCGATGTATCACGACTTCCCCATTGCCGAAGCTGGGGTGGGCGCGGTTTCGGCATGACGCATCCGGCCTGTGGGCCGGCAGTTTGACACCCCTGTTTTAGAGTCTTAAAATGTGGCCTGGCCAGTGAAACAATCATCATTTTGTTTCACAATTGAAAGCAGCCATCTAGTGCTATGCTTTTGATATTCAGAAATTAGCAATTGAAATTTTTCAGGAAATGAAGAGAAACTTCATAACTTATTAATTTCTGCATATGAAGCTAGTAAGTTTTTTAAAAAAAAAATACAGCTGGAGCTTATTGAACATTTGGCAATTGTTAGGGCCTCAAAATACACATTTCACTGTGTTGTACAGGGCATGAAAAATGGCCAACATGGAATTGTGAGGATCTGTTCTTAACCCACATGCTCATGATTGTGAGCAGACCTAAAAGTTATGTAAATAGGAAAAGGGAGGACTTTTTCAGACTGTATGATTACTTGTACAAATTCCTCCTTTCCTGTGCACAGCTACTTGTCTTTCTGTCAACAGAAGTAAACTGGACTCACATCAGACTTGAATCATGTTTAGATTACATGTTGTGTGAACTCAGTTAAATGCAGTTAACTAAAACCGCTTCAAAACTCTAGTTTATTCAAAAAAGCAACAAGCATCACGTATGAACCCAGCATCTGCTTACTTTCCCACTTGTTTCCTAAACCTGCACTAAAGTATAAAACCCAAAGGTGCTTTTTCCAAAGGAAACTGGACTTGGTTTTTCCTTGAAGACATTTCGCTTCTCATCTAAGATTGTTCGGCAGTCAAAACTGAAGAAGCTTCTTGGATGAGAAGCGAAACATCTTCAAAGAAAAACCAAGTCCAGTTCCCTTTTGAAAAAGCACCTTTGGGACAACCATGACCTGGATGACTGAGAATCTCCATAGACATAAAGTGTAAACAATTCCAGATATTATTTATATACCCTCACAAGAGAACTGTCACAGTAAAATGTGCAAATTAAATATATATTTGTACACATTGCCAAGATTCACATTATGAGCTGAGGAGGCAGAACTGATGTTTCTTAATAGAAAAAGACCAGGTCAAAATGTTACCAGTGCCGTCTTTCAACCATAACTATAGAATAACTATAGAAAGATCACGGGTCTGATGCAGCTTTTCCGCTAGGTTTATAATTCATCATCTTCCTCTTTAAGGTCAACTTGAAGAATCTTGATTTTGCTCCTTCCCATTCATAAGGACAAGGACATCAGATGAAATGGCTGAAGGTGCTTTAAAAGAAGATTATCATCCTTGGAGCAGCTGAGCTAACTGAAAAGGGGATTTGGCACTTTTATGAGGGGCAGAAGGCCACTGTCAGGGGCAGGATCCATAATCAATTTCTGAATCTGAAAAAGAAAGAGGGGGAGACAACAGCTGGAGAATCATCCAGAAGCTATCTGACCTGCTTTCTTTAAAGGCAGCAGAAATTCACAAGACGCACAAACATAGATTTCCCCAGAAGCCTGGCCAGAGGTTCTCACCAAACTGTAATGTTCATTGTGACTGAAGGGATATACTATTACATTTAAAATAAGTCTAACAGTTTCAGTCCTAGTGCTATCCAGTTTCTGGAGAGTGGCCTAATCGTCTATTGAAAGATGAGTATAGTTCTTATTTTCTCCAAAAATGTGCTCCTAGGCAAAGGTTGGTTTAATTCTGCCAGACCACATTTCCTTGGGCAGAGACATAGAACTGGTTTGCTCAGATTCAGATTTGCTTTGACCAGCTGGCCTCATTTGGTCAACCATATTGCCTTACAGCTAAATAGAGACGAGGGCCTAGAGTGGCCCCAAAGCAGGGCTTCTCTAGGAATTCTGGTAACAAGTTACAACATTCTCCTCCTTTATGCCCGTGAGCACATGAGAAGATAAGACACAGTAGAGTAATGTACAAGAAGGATATGTTCTCCTCCCATCACCTGCTCATGGTATTGCTGATCCTGATCAAGAAACTATGGCTTTTGTAGTTTTATTATATTGTCAAAAAAGAAACATGCTTACTTCTGTAAAAGTGGCTGGGATACTACCAAAGGTGGCTGTTTCTGACACCAGTGGGACTGTTTCACACTGAGCTGATTAAATCCCACTGCTTCACCAGGGGGCCATTTATAGAGAGGCACTGGCCAAATGAAGCAGGTGAATGAAGTTCGCAACTAGGATATGTGCAAAGAAATTTAGAGAATTACCTCTCGGAAACGCGGGTGAGCTGCATCCCGGACAAGCTGCAGGATAAGTCCCTCGCTAGTGGTAAGGAAGGCCCCGCTCTGATGCAGTCTGGACAGAGCTATGATCCTGTCCACCTGGCTAAGAAAGGGAGACAGAAAGAAAAGTACCCAATAAAAGATATGAAGAAAATGGAAGGGGTGATGTTGGACTCTTCTCCCCATCTGTCCCACTGATCACCTGCAGGAAGAGCAAGCATCCACCACGATGTGAACGTCCAGACCTCGCTCCATGACATCCAAGGCAGTACTCTGGATAAAAAATAAAAAAAAAAATCAAAAGAAACCGCCTTCAGTTTCTATGAGAGAACAATCATTCCTGTGGTGGCACTCTTCAGAACTCTGCCACTCCCAGGGTTTTGCAACTCTTTCAGTTCTTCAACCATCTCCCACAATTGCCCAGTCATCAGGCCCTCTGGGCGGAGAAATGCCGAGATGTTTAGTACCATGTGTTGTGGAGATGCCTATGCTGGGTCCTCATTCCCACCTTGAATACACCCACTGGTGGTAAACTGGCTACCTGCATATAAAGCAACTTTGCTGCTTCTCCTTTAATTCATAGGAGCAAATTAGCTTCATGCCTATTTCTAAGTTCTATACTAGGTAGTCCTCGACTTAACAACTACAATTCAGACCAGAATTTCCATTGATAAGCAAGACAGTTGTTAACTCAGTTGTACCCTATTTTACTTTTGTCATGGTTGTTAAGTGAATTACTGCAGTTATTAAGTGAATCACATAGTTGTTAAGCAAATCTGGTTTTCCCCATTGACTTTGCTTATCAGAAGCCGGCTGGGAAGGATGCAAGGACCAGCTATAAATCACTGTTTTCAATGCTGTTGTAACTGCGAATGGTTGCTAAACTAATGGTTGTAAGTCTAGGACTACCTGTACATTATTTGGGTCCCCTTTTTTAGCTTGAGAAAAAAAGAAGTGCTTTGTTTTACCCCCTCCCAGGCTCCTCAGAATTTGAAACTATTTGCCAGGCCAGCTACATCGATTAAAGATTAAAAGATAGGAAGAAATGGCACTTAAATGCTGGTTTCAGACAACACATGCAAGCATAGTTTACTTAGCCATGGTGTACTGAATAAATTAGCAGGTTGTGTGAATCTAGCCACTTATGCGTCAAAACCAAAGAAGTCATATTACATGGCTGAGTATACTCAACACATGAGATCAAAATATGGTTTGTTTTAAGTGAATGAAACCTATGCAAAGAAACAACAAAGCTCAAAGAACACCAAGAACCTAATAGTGCATCCCTGAGCTACGTATTTTCTCTTCTGTTGGTTTGTCTACAGGTAGTCCTTGACTTAGGACCACAATTGGGACTGGCACTTTCGCTGCTGAAGAAGTCATTAAATGAGGTATGCTCAATTTCACAATGTTTTGCCATGGCTGTTAAGCAAATCACTGCAGTTATTAAGTGAATCCGAAACTCCCCCAATGACTTTGTCAGAAGCTGGCTGGGAAGTTCAAAAATGGTGATCACATGACCCTGGGACACCAGAACTGTCATAAATACATGCTGATTCCAAGCACCCAAATTTTGATCACGTTACTGCAAGGAGAGTGCAATGGGTGAAAGTGCAAGGACCAGTTGCAGGTCACTTTTTTCAGCACTGTTGTAATTTTGAATGGTCATTAAATGAATGGTTGTAAGTTGACAATAACCTGTACATTGTATGAACCCAGATAGGATAGCTTATAAGCATGGGTTACAGTTTACTCCTTTGGTGAATCCAGCAGCGATAATTAATTCAGTAAACTCGATTTAGCATGTTCTATAAAAAAAGCTACTGGCTTATTTGAACAAGGGTGATATTCCTGGTCTCTATAAACCTTCTATTTATTGGTCTGTTAAGCTTCTAACCCACTTTTTCCTCCAGGAATACAACGTGATTTAGATAGGAATCTCTCTTCCTTTTAACTGTACAATAGCCCTTTGCAGCTGGGTCCACAGGAGGTGGGGAACAACGATTAAAGCCATGTCCTGGGACAGAGTTTGCAGCATGATCCTTTATCTCTTATTTTTGACAAGAGGAGCAAGTTCCTGCAGATTCCCAGGACCCTGTAAAGAACAATGGCCTAGCGAGACTAGTTCAAACCCTTGAAAGCTGAAGGTGGTTGTCAGAATCCAATTATATTTCATTTCTATCTACCTACTCTGATATAAAACCAATTCTTACTCTCTTCTGGATTCTGTCATACTACGGAAGGGGAGGAGGGTAAGCATGGGGGTTTTATGACTCTCACTTCCTTCATTAACTACAAAGTAACCTTTTGTTGATTCTCTTCGAGAGTACTAACCATAACAATGCGGCCATTGCCTTTCATCCTACTCCCTCTGAATTTCTCCCCTTAGCTGGCAGCGAGGGAAAAGGGGGGGGGAATGCAACGCCTGGGATCTGGGAAAAAGAGTGTCAATCCGCGTCCTGCTCGGTGCCCAAGAACAAGCCGACAAACAGGAACGAGCGACAAACGAATGGAGTTTTAATACCATACGGCAACAAAGTTAGCACTGGGAGTGAGTTGCTCCCAGTGCTTTACATAAGGTCTCGCGCGCCAATCCCACCCCCCACCCCACAAGCCAGCATCCGCCCCGTGGAAAACAAAACCAATCAGCAAGGGCGGCACCCCGCCCTGTTCCGGCACGCCCTTCAGTCCTGCTATGGCAATCCATGGAGCAAAGCGAGGCAGGTAAGCTCCTGGTTCCCCCATGCCGCTGACTCCCGTCGCAGGCATCCTCCGTTGGGCTGGCAAAATGCAAAGTTCCCCCCTCAGCCGAGAGGGCTTTCTAGCGCAGCACTGAACTCCGGCGTCCATCGGCCCCGGGTTGCTCTGGCCTGCGCCCGGCAGCTGGGAGAAAATATGGTGGGAGCAGCAGCAGCAGGACTGGCAGGGCTCCCCCCTGCCGGCATGTGTTGACCCCACAGGGCATCGGCAGCGTGGCACTTCGCCCGTACATGTCGGGCCCCGCGGGGCTCGACAGAGAGAATGAGTGATCGTGCCGACGGAGCGGACTGACGGATTGAATCGCCTGGAAGAACTGTGGGGTAGGGGCTGCTTGGGAACACTTTAAAACATTGAATGGGGGGGGGATCCCTCAGATCCTGTCTAGCATACCTGCAATCAGTTTCTCTTAATAAAAATTCCTGTTGGAAGAGACGTTCCAAGAGTTCTGTTTTCTTAAGATGTAAGTTGAGGTGGGTCCTCACAGTGGTTTAAACTTAAACCTCCCATTTTTTACTCCAAGACCTTAACCACCATATATATATATATATATATTTAAAAGACAACAAAGTGATCACCAGGAAGTATAAAACAATACAGTTTTAATAAATAAAACCAAGCTTTCGATGGCCTAAAACTGCCATCATCGTCAGGGTATAATCAGGATGCTGGGAGAGCTTGCTTATAAATACAGTCATGTCTGCGCATGGCTCCTAGATCTCGTGACAGGTCCC